CTTTCTGGTTTTATAGTGATGCCTGTAACTGTATTTGAACAGGGAGTGGAAGGTGATACTATATAACTGAAAGTCTGGTCAGTAGCATTTTTCTGGTGGTAAGAAACTTTCCATTCGTTTATCAGTCCATTTAGTCAAATTCATGGCAGTTACCTGCCACAAAATTCATAACTACAGTTGCTCTTAAATCTTGCTGTCTTTCATGATTTGATCCATATTTATACAGGAAAAACACACTGCTCTGGAGATCACTGCATGATTACAGTTTTCATTGGTGACCTAAAAAGCAATCCAGATGCCAGGAGCCAAAAAGTTTTGCTGCTCTAATCTTCATTCCAGAAAGAAAAGGAACCATTGCAGCTATTAAAGCTGCATATAGAGCATGTTTGAATGTCAAACAGAGCCACCTGCTCCATGATAAGAGACAACCTCCTCTAAAGAACAGCAAGTAAAATAAACCTTTCATTTTCACACAGCACATGAGACCTAGAATGCAGCCTATTTGTCCACTGCCATCACAGTGAAAATCACCAGAAGGAATAACAAGACACTGAGTGAAGAACACTGAAAGCTCCAGTTTATTAGAAACATATTTTCCAAGTCTTACTTTGCACTTCACAGCTGTGAGATGGTTTTGGCCACTTCATGTTCACTTCAGCTCACTTTGCTAATCAGAAGTGTGATCCATGGTTATCTAGCCCAGGAAAACCTGCTCATTTCATAAGAGCACTGAAGTGATCAACTTCAGAGTAGCCCAAACTGGAAATCAGTCATTCTTTATGTAGAACAGGCTCATTCAGCATTAGCACTTGCACTTCAGTCCTTAGGTGCCTGTTGTTTTACACGATGCTTACCAAAACAAGCTTCTCAAACTTTGCTTTTCTATACAGCTGCTCCAAGAGGTCTGCAAGGAGCCAGGCCCCAGAGTTCAATGGCAGCAGCAAGGTTTAGGGCACAACCAGCCTCACTGCCTATCAAGTATGGTAAATTGGTTGTTCTATTTACTTCTGGCTGGCAGAGAGCTGAAAGCTTTTCCTCTCACTTTTCCTGAGCCCTTCTCCTCCCTCCCCAGTGTTGGCAGCACAGAGTCTGCTAAACCACCCTCTTCCTTATTAGCTTTTGCCAACTGCAACATGAAGCTGACAATCCTTGACAGCTTCATAGCTACCCCCAGGTCAGAATGGCAAAGCCAATCATCCTCCTCTGCTGAGGAGGACAGAAGCAGCAGCAGGCTGGAAGGCAGCACAGCATCGCTCCCCACTCAGCTCATCATTAGGGCTGTTGTTTTCAGCAACACCAGCTGGAAACTTTAAGCTTAATTTCGCTAAAGTCATTTTACAACCCAAAACTTTCCAAAAGGGGCATTCTCACAAGCCATTTTTCCATCACAAGTTTGCAGTTGGTTTCTCGTTCAGAACATACCAGCGAGTAGGTACATCCCACTTCACTCCAGCCGGCTGGCAGCAGAGGGCACCACACAATCACCTATGTGATTTATATACTTCCATCATGCTCACGGGTTAATTTATAGAGCACAAATTACTACTACAACAAGCTACAGGGTGACTCCATAAAGCATGCACCAAATCAGATGAAAACACATGCAATAAAAGGCAGCTGATTTTCTACTATGCTTTTAGCCAGCAATTCAAAGAGAGGCTCAAGCTTAGTATCTCTCCAGGTTCAAATGCCACATTCCCATAATGGCAGGGATCATGCAGAGCACAGATCTCCAGCCCCACCACACAGATACAGAGTAGTATCTCTGCAGAGCCACATAAACACTAGCTTTAGCCCAGGCATAAACCAGTAGTCCACAAACTAACTCATCTGTGGTTTACATACTGCAGGGCACATCATTAAACATTTTGGCCGAGGATGCACAGCAGCTGTGATGCAGCCAGCAGAGAGTCAAGAGACAAAAAGAATACCTGCATTTCTCCAGCTTTTTCCTATTTCTACACATCACATGTTTTTTACTTACTGAATACTTGTTAAAAAAAGAAAAAGATGAAACTACACAAAAGTTAATCTGCATTATGTGAGCACACTGATACACACATACTGGTGAGCAGAAACATGCAATCATGAAGTATAAAGAAGGTTCTAAGTTACATTCTTGCTGTCAGCGGAAACACATCAGTACTTTGATAGTATCATCCCCATTTAAAGCCATGACACTAGCCAAACCTGTTACATACGCCATGGAAAAAGGACCTCCTATTCATACCTTCTGCAGAGCTGTACATACACTGATAAAGGACACTTCCGAGCATGCAGTTGTAGTGAACAGTCACTCAACACATCAGCTTTTCCAAAGAGATCTGCAGCACGACCTTGAGGACAAGACCTTGATGACTTATGGCCATCCCTTCGCCACAGAGCCAGAAGCACCCAACAGTGCTCCAACCCAAAGGCCAAAGGGAAGAACACAGTCCTAATCCACCTTATTAAAGCAATACATTATTTTCAGCCACCATAATGTTTCCCCTGAACATGTAAATACAGAGGCAATTAGGTACCCAGGCACTTCTGCCGAAAGCCTTTAGCATAATCTTTCCTAGAATATATTTACATGGCTTCTGATTGCTTAATTTTCTGACACGTTTGTTTCAGGCACTCTGAAGATTAAATAAGGCAAAAATCGCCTACACTGATACATCACCGTTTTGAAGGTAACGTGCAGCACAAAAACTCCTAGCAGCTTTTAAACTTCAGATTTTAGCATCACAATTCTATTTTCTAGCTTTAATTCTGCTGTTCCTTAAAACCTTCCCTCCCTCCTTTCACTGTTACTCTGAAAGATAAAAATCACTGACTGAAACAGCAGACACCATTTAAAGAAGAAGAATGAGCCTGGACAGAGATTTCATTGAAAAGCTCAATTCTGTATCACATCCCAAATGTTCTCAATTCAAAATTAGCCTGCACAAAAAGGCAAATTAAAGCCAGAAACAGAAGAAAATCTTTTCTGACTGCTGTAAGTATTATTTTTTATGAGATAGCCTCCTATCATTTAGGGGTTTGGTATTAAGAACTCAGCTCTTCATAACGGCTTCATGAACAAGCAGACAAACAGCATATTCATTTATAAGCTGGAAGTTGATTAGTAAGTACAAAAAACATGAATGCCTGTCAGGACCAAGGAAGAGAGGCTGGAACTATTGAATCTGAGGATGCCCAAAAACCTCTCTGCAGTCAGCTTACAGATACCTCTATGACAACAGTAAAAAAAAACAACAAACCAAACCTATTTGGTTTGTCTTTATACTGCTTCATCTGAAGTTATTTTTACCAAGACAGCCAGTTATCCTTTAGGGCATGTTTTCCCTTGCTCAGTGTAACAAGAGCTATCATTTCAGGGCCAAATCCCTCAAAAAAATAGGCATATGATACAAGCATTTCTTCACTCACAGACCCACTGCAGCCTCTAACTCCACCTTAATTAGACTGGAAGATGAAAACTTCAGCCTAAACCCCAGTAACTCTGATTTACAGAAGTGCAGAGAGGTTTTATTGCGAATTCTCCTGTAAGCTGCACAGACATTTCCTGCCCAGCTCAACACACCATCAAAACAAAAGCAGATCTCAATTTACTGGCAGCTGCCATACTTAAAACAGACATAAAGAAAACCAGAGTCAACATTCTGTGCAACATGGGCAATGTGAGCTATCTAAATACCGAGAACACTGAACACACAGAAATCGGCAGTGATGAACTGCACTGTAGGAACTGCCCGGCTTACAGCTACACAAAGCCCACAGTAAAAGGACAATGTTTGAAGAGCAACGAAGTCAGTTTCACTATTTTTTTCACTGACCAGAGTTAACTGCTATTTCCAACAAGGAAGTTTGAAGCCTCCTAAGAATAGTTAGCATTTTTCTCCTCACCACCTCTGGAAGACACATGATTTTACAATGGTCTTCATTTCACCACACCATGGGAAGCTATGGAGCAGTGGGCTACAGGCCTTGATGCTTATTTGTCATGCAAAACAGGTTCCATGCATGGAATAGAAATACAAGCATAAGGCAGTAACATCAGGAACTCCAGGTATGTCATGATCACTGTATAGGTCAAAGGGATTTCTGTGCAGGCTTGAGGATCCACTACAAATTGATGTTTTATGGCAGGTAACAGCTGATCCCTTTCCCTGCTGGCATTACAGGGTTATAATGGTTATACCTAGACTTGCACCAATTGCTTGAATTTCAGAACATATTTCTTCTGGGAAGGAAGAGCTCAGTCTCAGTTTGACTACAACACTTCCCGAGAGCCTTCTTTCCCTCGGAGCATAAATTGCCACAGTAGGTTTCACCACCCTTACGGTGCAGTCACAGTGGCAAGTCTCCAAGGAGGGAAAGAATTAGACAACCAAGAGTTTTAAGTGGTTATGAACAAGCAGAGCTTTGTAGAGCAGCAGCCAAACCGATAGTTACACACTGACATTTCAAGCTTTCAAGTCCCAATCATTCCTAATGGTACAAAGCCAAACCCAGAAGAGGACAAAGCAATTGCACAGCCAAGAGTAAATGCAGCTAAACCGAGCTTCCAAACATCTAATTTGGGTGATGCAGCCTCCCTGTCTCACACACTAAGCATAAAGATTTGGCTGTTAAATTTACTACTACTCCAGCGGGACAAGAAAGGAATGCAGTCATGTGCTGCAATATAGTGAGGCCACGTATCCAGCAGGCATCTTCTGCCTCTCAGGAAGAGTTATCCTCTCTCTTCCTAAAGGAGGCTCAGCACACAGACGTAATCCTCAGGCTCCACCTGGCACTTTCTGCCAGCCCTCGCCTTAAGCGCTGCGGGGACCCGGACGTAACAGGTGATGTTTGCTCCCTGGCCCTTCCCGATGCAGGTAAAGGGGAATAGCACCTAAAGAGGCACACCCTTGGGAAACAGAATCACCGTCCTCTTGTACGCAGCGACGGCGCAAGCTCCCCTTCCTTACTCCTTAGAGCAAGGAGCCAAACACCTTGTGTTATTCCCTTACCAAACTCAGCCCAAAAAGGCGAGTAGACCCTCGAGTCCGCGCGGCGGCCAGAAAGCGCTCGCGTTCCCCGTCCAACCGAGACATCGCTACGGAAAAGCGGCTCCTTGCTCAGGGGCGCAGGAGCCCTGCCCTGCACTCCTCTCCTTCACCCCCTCCTCTACAGGGG